AGCCCCGCCTTGCGCTTGTCCAGAAAGTCCTTGTCCGACGATGAGAGCCAGCCCGCCTTGCCCGGGAGGTCGGGCACGCCTTGGAAGGCGGCGCGCAGCGTCTTGTCGAGGACGTCGAACTGCCTGTAGCGCCGCTTGATGCGGTAGGCGTTGAAGCCGTCGTGCGCCGTCGAGACTTGGACCACCCACCACAGCCCGCCGCCGCCCGCCGCCGCTGCCTCATCGTCCTCGTCGTGGCCGACTACCTCGGCGGTGATGGTGGGCGCGCCGTGGCCGGTGGCGAGGACGACACCGGTGGCAGAGGCGCGGAACAGGGCGGACATGACAGGACTGCCGAAAAAGAATTGTAAAGTGCCGACAAGGGCGCGGACTGGCGCGGACTGGCACACACACCGGCTCACCGAGAAAAAGAAGGGAAAAAACAATCAGAAAAAGCATCGTTGGCGGCACACTCTCCGTCCTCCAACTCCCTCGCAACACGGGGCAAAAGAAGAATTCGAGTTCGAGAACGTAAAACTTACTTTGCTGGGCTCCAGCTGGCCGACGGGCACACCTTGCCTCGAGGACAGCAGCGACCGCGTTTCGATGTCGCCGATGTCGCCGCCCGTGCCCTACCCTCCTGCCGGCTTCGTCCAGCGGCGGCGGGAGGAGGAGGCACTGCGCCCGCAATTACCGCCGCAGAGCGTCTCGCCGTCGACGAACGCCAAAGCCAGCCTCAACGAGCCGCCCTCGACGAACGCCAAAGCCATTGTCGTGCCAGTGTGCTGTGAGAGAGGCTTGTATCTTAAGAATTCTTCGCCGTCAACGATTGGGGTAGGGGCCCCAACTCGTGTGAGGCTACTACTTTATCGCAGGTACTCACTGAGGAGCGTCTTCTCATATGAAGGGTCTTCATCCCTCCTGCCAGTCTTCACGGATTTTTCTCCGTGAACACTCAGGACGCGACGTACGTCCAAGCACGTTCCGCGTGCCTCGTGGCCGCGCTCTTTGCGTGCTGCTCCTGCAGCTCTCTCGCTGCTCTTCCTGGCCCGGCGCCGTGCCAGCTCTGTGGCCGCGCCAGGCTCTGCGACCGCGCCAGCACTCTGGCTGCGCCGGTTCTTCGCTTTCGACGTACGTCCAAGCACGTTCCGCGTGCCTCGTGGCCGCGCTCTTTGCGTGCTGCTCCTGCAGCTCTCTCGCTGCTCTTCCTGGCCCGGCGCCGTGCCAGCTCTGTGGCCGCGCCAGGCTCTGCGACCGCGCCAGCACTCTGGCTGCGCCGGTTCTTCGCTTTCTGGTGCAGATTCTGCTGCTGCGCCTTTTTCTGCTGTTGCCAGACTGCTGGCGGGCAGCAGCGCACGATGGACAGTGGCTGCATCCGTTACGCCTGCAGCAGCCGTGACGTCTCTCACCTCCTGCCTCGGCGGCCTCGACCACTCGGTGGCCCGCAGCGGTGGCTCACCGCTCTGGCTTGACTGCTGGCTCAGCTCCACGGTTGGCGTGCTGTGGTCTCTCATCCATGACCGTCACCTTCTGCGGCCCAGCTTTCTGGCATCAATGGGCCCAGGCAGACCCACTGGGTAGGCCTCCTCCCCAGGCAGCCACTGGGACCTGTCGACAGCCCACGGCCCGCTCGTGCGGCGTGGCGTCTAAGTCGCACATCCTTCTGGGCCTTAGCCCACTCTGCTGCCTCTCGGCAGCTTGGCGTTGCGAGCAGCTCTCTGCTATCGCATCGTCTTCTCTCTTTGGTTCTCAGACCCTCCCGCCCCTCTGGCGGCGTGGCGTTGCTACCAGCCCTCTGCTGTCGCATCGTCTTCTCCCTTTGGTTCTCAGACCCTCCCGCCCCTCTGGCGGCGTGGCGTTGCGACCAGCCCTCTGATGTCGCATCGTCTTCTCTCTCGACGGCGTGAGCCTCGTCTCGCTCTTCGTCTACTCGAGCCTCGTCTCGTGTGCCGCCTCGTGGGCGGCGTGGCGTGGCGGGCGGCTGTCTCTGCCGCCGCCTCGAGTGAGCCTCGTCTCGCTCTTCGTCTACTCGAGCCTCGTCTCGTGTGCCGCCTCGTGGGCGGCGTGGCGTGGCGGGCGGCTGTCTCTGCCGCCGCCTCGAGTGAGCCTCGTCTCGCTCTTCGTCTACTCGAGCCTCGTCTCGTGTGCCGCCTCGTGGGCGGCGTGGCGGGCGGGCGGCTGTCTCTGCCGCCGCCTCGAGTGAGCCTCGTCTCGCTCTTCGTCTACTCGAGCCTCGCTTCGTGTGCCGCCTCGTGGGCGGCGTGGCGTGGCGGGCGGCTGTCTCTGCCGCCGCCTCGAGTGAGCTTCGTCTCGCTCTTCGTCTACTCGAGCCTCGTCTCGTGCGCCGCCTCGTGGGCGGCGTGGCGGGCGGGCGGCTGTCTCTGCCGCCGCCTCGAGTGAGCCTCGTCTCGCTCTTCGTCTACTCGAGCCTCGTCTCGTGTGCCGCCTCGTGGGCGGCGTGGCGTGGCGGGCGGCTGTCTCTGCCGCCGCCTCGAGTGAGCCTCGTCTCGCTCTTCGTCTACTCGAGCCTCGCTTCGTGTGCCGCCTCGTGGGCGGCGTGGCGTGGCGGGCGGCTGTCTCTGCCGCCGCCTCGAGTGAGCTTCGTCTCGCTCTTCGTATACTCGAGCCTCGTCTCGTGTGCCGCCTCGTGGGCGGCGTGGCGTGGCGGGCGGCTGTCTCTGTCGCCGCCTCGAGTGACTCGTCTCGCTCTTCGTCTACTCGAGCCTCGTCTCGTGTGCCGCCCCGTGGGCGGCGTGGCGGGCGGGCGGCTGTCTCTGCCGCCGCCTCGAGTGAGCCTCGTCTCGCTCTTCGTCTACTCGAGCCTCGTCTCGTGTGCCGCCTCGTGGGCGGCGTGGCGTGGCGGGCGGCTGTCTCTGCCGCCGCCTCGAGTGAGCCTCGTCTCGCTCTTCGTCTACTCGAGCCTCGTCTCGTGTGCCGCCTCGTGGGCGGTGGGGCGTGGCGGGCGGCTGCCTCTGCCGCCGCCTCGAGTGAGCCTCGTCTCGCTCTTCGTCTACTCGAGCCTCGTCTCGTGTGCCGCCTCATGGGCGGCGTGGCGTGGCGGGCGGCTGTCTCTGCCGCCGCCTCGAGTGAGCCTCGTCTCGCTCTTCGTCTACTCGAGCCTCGTCTCGTGCGCCGCCTCGTGGGCGGCGTGGCGGGCGGGCGGCTGTCTCTGCCGCCGCCTCGAGTGAGCCTCGTCTTGGTCTTCGTCTACTCGAGCCTCGCTTCGTGTGCCGCCTCGTGGGCGGCGTGGCGTGGCGGGCGGCTGTCTCTGCCGCCGCCTCGAGTGAGCTTCGTCTCGCTCTTCGTCTACTCGAGCCTCGTCTCGTGCGCCGCCTCGTGGGCGGCGTGGCGTGGCGGGCGGCTGTCTCTGCCGCCGCCTCGAGTGAGCCTCGTCTCGCTCTTCGTCTACTCGAGCCTCGTCTCGTGTGCCGCCTCGTGGGCGGCGTGGCGTGGCGGGCGGCTGTCTCTGCCGCCGCCTCGAGTGAGCCTCGTCTCGCTCTTCGTCTACTCGAGCCTCGTCTCGTGTGCCGCCTCGTGGGCGGCGTGGCGGGCGGGCGGCTGTCTCTGCCGCCGCCTCGAGTGAGCCTCGTCTCGCTCTTCGTCTACTCGTGCCTCGTCTCGTGTGCCGCCTCGTGGGCGGCGTGGCGGGCGGCTGTCTCTGCCGCCGCCTCGAGTGAGCCTCGTCTCGCTCTTCGTCTACTCGAGCCTCGCTTCGCGTGCCGCCTCGTGGGCGGCGTGGCGGGCGGGCGGCTGTCTCTGCCGCCGCCTTGAGTGCGCCTCGTCTCGCTCTTCGTCTACTCGAGCCTCGTCTCGTGTGCCGCCTCGTGGGCGGCGTGGCGGGCGGGCGGCTGTCTCTGCCGCCGCCTCGAGTGAGCCTCGTCTTGGTCTTCGTCTACTCGAGCCTCGTCTCGTGTGCCGCCTCGTGGGCGGCGTGGCGTGGCGGGCGGCTGTCTCTGCCGCCGCCTCGAGTGAGCCTCGTCTCGCTCTTCGTCTACTCGAGCCTCGTCTCGTGTGCCGCCTCGTGGGCGGCGTGGCGGGCGGGCGGCTGTCTCTGCCGCCGCCTCGAGTGAGCCTCGTCTCGCTCTTCGTCTACTCGAGCCTCGTCTCGTGTGCCGCCTCGTGGGCGGCGTGGCGTGGCGGGCGGCTGTCTCTGCCGCCGCCTCAAGTGCGCCTCGTCTCGCTCTTCGTCTACTCGAGCCTCGTCTCGTGTGCCGCCTCGTGGGCGGCGTGGCGGGCGGGCGGCTGTCTCTGCCGCCGCCTCGAGTGCGCCTCGTCTCGCTCTTCGTCTACTCGAGCCTCGTCTCGTGTGCCGCCTCGTGGGCGGCGTGGCGGGCGGGCGGCTGTCTCTGCCGCCGCCTCGAGTGAGCCTCGTCTCGCTCTTCGTCTACTCGAGCCTCGTCTCGTGTGCCGCCTCGTGGGCGGCGTGGCGTGGCGGGCGGCTGTCTCTGCCGCCGCCTCGAGTGAGCCTCGTCTCGCTCTTCGTCTACTCGAGCCTCGTCTCGTGTGCCGCCTCGTGGGCGGCGTGGCGTGGATGGCGGCTGTCTCTGCCGCCGCCTCGAGTGAGCCTCGTCTCGCTCTTCGTCTACTCGAGCCTCGCTTCGCGTGCCGCCTCGTGGGCGGCGTGGCGGGCGGGCGGCTGTCTCTGCCGCCGCCTCGAGTGAGCCTCGTCTCGCTCTTCGCCTACTCGAGCCTCGTCTCGTGTGCAGCCTCGTGGGCGGCGTGGCGGGCGGGCGGCTGTCTCTGCCGCCGCCTCGAGTGAGCCTCGTCTTGGTCTTCGTCTACTCGAGCCTCGTCTCGTGTGCCGCCTCGTGGGCGGCGTGGCGTGGCGGGCGGCTGTCTCTGCCGCCGCCTCGAGTGAGCCTCTCGTCTCGCTCTTCGCCTACTCGAGCCTCGTCTCGTGTGCCGCCTCGTGGGCGGCGTGGCGGGCGGGCGGCTGTCTCTGCCGCCGCCTCGAGTGAGCTTCGTCTCGCTCTTCGTCTACTCGAGCCTCGTCTCGTGTGCCGCCTCGTGGGCGGCGTGGCGGGCGGGCGGCTGTCTCTGCCGCCGCCTCGAGTGAGCCTCGTCTCGCTCACCCTCTACTCGTGCCTCGTCTCGTGTGCCGCCTCGTGGACGGCGTGGCGGGCGGCTGTCTCTGCCGCCGCCTCGAGTGAGCCTCGTCTCGCTCTTCGTCTACTCGAGCCTCGTCTCGTGTGCCGCCTCGTGGGCGGCGTGGCGGGCGGCTGTCTCTGCCGCCGCCTCGAGTGAGCCTCGTCTCGCTCTTCGTCTACTCGAGCCTCGTCTCGTGTGCCGCCTCGTGGGCGGCGTGGCGGGCGGGCGGCTGTCTCTGCCGCCGCCTCGAGTGAGCCTCGTCTCGCTCACCCTCTACTCGTGCCTCGTCTCGTGTGCCGCCTCGTGGGCGGCGTGGCGGGCGGCTGTCTCTGCCGCCGCCTCGAGTGAGCCTCGTCTCGCTCTTCGTCTACTCGAGCCTCGTCTCGTGTGCCGCCTCGTGGGCGGCGTGGCGGGCGGCTGTCTCTGCCGCCGCCTCGAGTGAGCCTCGTCTCGCTCTTCGTCTACTCGAGCCTCGTCTCGTGTGCCGCCTCGTGGGCGGCGTGGCGTGGCGGGCGGCTGTCTCTGCCGCCGCCTCGAGTGAGCCTCGTCTCGCTCTTCGTCTACTCGAGCCTCGTCTCGTGTGCCGCCTCGTGGGCGGCGTGGCGTGGATGGCGGCTGTCTCTGCCGCCGCCTCGAGTGAGCCTCGTCTCGCTCTTCGCCTACTCGAGCCTCGTCTCGCGTGCCGCCTCGTGGGCGGCGTGGCGGGCGGGCGGCTGTCTCTGCCGCCGCCTCGAGTGAGCCTCGTCTTCGCTCTTCGTCTACTCGAGCCTCGTCTCGTGTGCCGCCTCGTGGGCGGCGTGGCGGGCGGGCGGCTGTCTCTGTCGCCGCCTCGAGTGAGCCTCGTCTCGCTCTTCGTCTACTCGAGCCTCGTCTCGTGTGCCGCCCTCGTGGGCGGCGTGGCGTGGCGGGCGGCTGCCTCTGCCGCCGCCTCGAGTGAGCCTCGTCTCGCTCTTCGTCTACTCGAGCCTCGTCTCGTGTGCCGCCTCGTGGGCGGCGTGGCGTGGCGGGCGGCTGTCTCTGCCGCCGCCTCGAGTGAGCCTCGTCTCGCTCTTCGTCTACTCGAGCCTCGTCTCGTGTGCCGCCTCGTGGGCGGCGTGGCGTGGCGGGCGGCTGTCTCTGCCGCCGCCTCGAGTGAGCCTCGTCTCGCTCCTCGTCTACTCGAGCCTCGTCTCGTGTGCCGCCTCGTGGGCGGCGTGGCGTGGCGGGCGGCTGTCTCTGCCGCCGCCTCGAGTGAGCCTCGTCTCGCTCTTCGTCTACTCAAGCCTCGTCTCGTGTGCCGCCTCGTGGGCGGCGGGGCGTGGCGGGCGGCTGTCTCTGCCGCCGCCTCGAGTGAGCCTCGTCTCGCTCCTCGTCTACTCGAGCCTCGCCTCGTGTGCCGCCTCGTCTGCGGCGTGGCGGGCGGTCGGCTGCATCGACTGTCACCCCGCCCGAGTGCGTCTCGTCTCGCTCACCCTCTACTCGAGCCTCGACTCGTGTGCCGCCTCGTCAGCGGCGTGGCGGGCGGTAGGCTGCATCAGCTGTCGCCCCGCCCGAGTGCGTCTCGTCTCGCTCACTCTCCACTCGAGCCTCGACTCGTGTGCCGCCTCGTCTGCGGCGTGGCGGGCGGTCGGCTGCGTCAGCTGTCGCCCCGCCCGAGTGCGTCTCGTCTCGCTCACTCTCCACTCGAGCCTCGACTCGTGTGCCGCCTCGTCTGCGGCGTGGCGGGCGGTCGGCTGCGTCAGCTGTCGCCCCGCCCGAGTGTCTCTCGTCTCGCTACTCGAGCCTCGACTCGTGCGCCGCCTCGTCTGCGGCGTGACGTGCGGTCGGCTGCATCAGCTGTCGCCCCGCCCGAGTGCGTCTCGTCTCGCCCACTCTCCACTCGAGCCTCGACTCGTGTGCCGCCTCGTCTGCGGCGTGGCGGGCGGTAGGCTGCGTCAGCTGTCGCCCCGCCCGAGTGTCTCTCGTCTCGCTACTCGAGCCTCGACTCGTGCGCCGCCTCGTCTGCGGCGTGACGTGCGGTCGGCTGCATCAGCTGTCGCCCCGCCCGAGTGCGTCTCGCCTCGCTCACTCTCCACTCGAGCCTCGACTCGTGTGCCGCCTCGTCAGCGGCGTGGCGGGCTGTCGGTTGCATCAGCTGTCGCCCCGCCCGAGTGCGTCTCGTCTCGCTCACCCTCTACTCGAGCCTCGACTCGTGCGCCGCCTCGTCAGCGGCGTGGCGGGCGGTCGGCTGCATCAGCTGTCGCCCCGCCCGCGGTCGGCTGCATCGGCTGTCGCCCCGCCCGAGCGCGTCTCGTCTCGCCCACTCTCTACTCGAGCCTCGACTCGTGTGCCGCTTCGTCTGCGGCGTGGCGGGCGGTAGGCTGCGTCAGCTGTCGCCCCGCCCGAGTGCGTCTCGTCTCGCTCACTCTCCACTCGAGCCTCGACTCGTGTGCCGCCTCGTCTGCGGCGTGGCGGGCGGTCGGCTGCATCAGCTGTCGCCCCGCCCGAGTGTCTCTCGTCTCGCTACTCGAGCCTCGCCTCGTGTGCCGCCTCGTCTGCGGCGTGGCGGGCGGTCGGCTGCATCAGCTGTCGCCCCGCCCGAGTGCGTCTCGTCTCGCCCACTCTCCACTCGAGCCTCGACTCGTGTGCCGCCTCGTCTGCGGCGTGGCGGGCGGTAGGCTGCGTCAGCTGTCGCCCCGCCCGAGTGTCTCTCGTCTCGCTACTCGAGCCTCGACTCGTGCGCCGCCTCGTCTGCGGCGTGACGTGCGGTCGGCTGCATCAGCTGTCGCCCCGCCCGAGTGCGTCTCGCCTCGCTCACTCTCCACTCGAGCCTCGACTCGTGTGCCGCCTCGTCAGCGGCGTGGCGGGCGGTCGGCTGCATCAGCTGTCGCTCCGCCCGAGCGCGTCTCGTCTCGCTCACCCTCTACTCGAGCCTCGACTCGTGCGCCGCCTCGCCGGCGGCGTGGCGGGCGGTCGGCTGCATCAGCTGTCGCCCCGCCCGAGTGTCTCTCGTCTCGCTACTCGAGCTTTGCCTCGTGTGCCGCCTCAACTGCGGCGTGGCGGGCTGTCGGTTGCATCAGCTGTCGCCCCGCCCGAGTGCGTCTCGTCTCGCTCACCCTCTACTCGAGCCTCGACTCGTGCGCCGCCTCGTCAGCGGCGTGGCGGGCGGTCGGCTGCATCAGCTGTCGCCCCGCCCGCGGTCGGCTGCATCGGCTGTCGCCCCGCCCGAGCGCGTCTCGTCTCGCCCACTCTCTACTCGAGCCTCGACTCGTGTGCCGCTTCGTCTGCGGCGTGGCGGGCGGTAGGCTGCGTCAGCTGTCGCCCCGCCCGAGTGCGTCTCGTCTCGCTCACTCTCCACTCGAGCCTCGACTCGTGTGCCGCCTCGTCTGCGGCGTGGCGGGCGGTCGGCTGCATCAGCTGTCGCCCCGCCCGAGTGTCTCTCGTCTCGCTACTCGAGCCTCGCCTCGTGTGCCGCCTCAACTGCGGCGTGGCGGGCGGTCGGCTGCATCAGCTGTCGCCCCGCCCGAGTGCGTCTCGTCTCGCTCACCCTCTACTCGAGCCTCGACTCGTGCGCTGCCTCGTCAGCGGCGTGGCGGGCGGTCGGCTGCATCGGCTGTCGCTCCGCCCGAGCGCGTCTCGTCTCGCTCACCCTCTACTCGAGCCTCGACTCGTGTGCCTCCTCGTCGGCGGCGTGGTGAGCAGTCAACCGTCTCGCTCCTGGCTGTCACAGGCGGGTTGATCGGCTCTCGGCCGTTGCCTTCGCCTTCGGCCTTCTAGTCAAGTGGGCGCCTGGGCGTGGCGAGGCAGCTGGCCTTCGGCCTCTTCTCGCTTTCCTCCGAGCGGTTGCTCTCTCGCACCACGCTCTCGGCCGCCTGGGCGGCTCCGTTCCACGGAGCAGTTGCCCCTCTCTCGGCTACATTGGGTTGTGAGGGCCCTCTGCTCCTTTGCCCTCGCTCCTCCACTACTGCTTTGGGATGTCAGGTACTGCGTAGCTCTTCCTTGTGGAGGCACGCGACGACTCCAGACGGACCCTAGTACGCTCCAATGTATCCTCACGGATGCTAGGAAGTGAAGCCCAGATAAAGTAGTTCGCCGTCAACGATTGGGGTAGGGGCCCCAACTCGTGTGAGGCTACTACTTTATCGCAGGTACTCACTGAGGAGCGTCTTCTCATATGAAGGGTCTTCATCCCTCCTGCCAGTCTTCACGGATTTTTCTCCGTGAACACTCAGGACGCGACGTACGTCCAAGCACGTTCCGCGTGCCTCGTGGCCGCGCTCTTTGCGTGCTGCTCCTGCAGCTCTCTCGCTGCTCTTCCTGGCCCGGCGCCGTGCCAGCTCTGTGGCCGCGCCAGGCTCTGCGACCGCGCCAGCACTCTGGCTGCGCCGGTTCTTCGCTTTCCCCACCCACCCTCTCCTGGGATAAGGGGGTCGTTCTGAGGGCTCTCCGTATGGTTAGCTCCTCCCTCTCTCTGGTCTGTGGTGCGATCCCTTTCGGCGACGCGGCCAGGCCACGGGTCGTTGAGGCTTGCCTCCGTGCCCGTGGTCGTCCAAGCTGATCGAGTCCCAACCCACCGCCTTTAGTGGCAGGACCCCAGGGGATGTCAGGTACTGCGTAGCTCTTCCTTGTGGAGGCACGCGACGACTCCAGACGGACCCTAGTACGCTCCAATGTATCCTCACGGATGCTAGGAAGTGAAGCCCAGATAGAGTAGTAAGATTCTTGTTTTGGAAAGGAAGCTAAGTTGTCCCTCAAAGGCCAGGCCCGTGCCCGTGCTGCCTCTCATGTCCACCTGGGCCGACCAGATCGAGGCCGCTCGTGGGCAGCACAGCGACGTGGCAACTTTCGACGCTGCGTGCAGCTGGGTGCAGGACGTCGCCGCTCCGCAGCGGCTCCTGCCTGACGCCTGCCTCTTGCGGCTGTATGCTGCCTTCAAGCAGGCGACAGTTGGCCCGGCGCCGCCGCGCTCTGGCCAGTTGGACCCGAAAAAGCGCGCCAAGTGGCAGGCGTGGGACGCTGTGCGCAGCCTCGACAAAAGAGAGGCTCGCCACCTCTACTGCACGCTCGTCACACAGTTCTCAGCGGCCGCCGCGGCGGCGACGCCAACGCGAGGAGGTCAGCCTCCAACGCCAACGCCAAAGCCGACCAGCGCGCCGGCGGCCGCCACGGAGCTGCTGCCCGTGACTTCCCGCGTTCTCTCTTTTGGACCGAGCCGCAGCGGCGCAGTCGTGTACCGCGTCGCGTCGCGCTGGGCCGGCGGCGGCAGCGTGTCTACGCACCGGCGCTTCTCAGACTTCCGCACGCTGCACACGGCGCTGCGCAGCCCGCTCTCGCTCGGCGAGTTCCCGTGCGCTCGGGCGCCCTTTCAAACGAGCGCACTGGCG